CCCTCCGCTAACATCTGCCGGAGCCTCTCTTCCCCCCCCCCGCCCCCGGGCTGCCCTTTCCTTGTGGCCAGGGAGGCGGCAGGGGGGGATTGGGCTGCGCCCCAGCTCGTGTACGTGTGGATGCACACTGGGTGTAGGTTGAACTTCAACCTCGGGCACCGCCCGGGCGATTGAGGAAGGGGAGCCGTGGCGCGCCCGGACTCCGGCAGATCAACGCTCAGCCTACTTGGGCCCGGCCCGGCCCGGCCCCCATCATCCACGCCCTGCGAGCCGCCTCCAGCCAGACGTGCCCTTCTGCCGCCCAGACTGAGGGGCGCTGGCGCCCTCTGGCGCCGCCGAGCAGCAATGCAGACTGTACAGTACTCGGCCGCTGTTACCGCTTCCGACTTAACCGGAACCATTGATCTCCTGCGTCGCTAATCCTGCCCTGCTCAGGTCTTGCAAAACGAAGGTCGGGGCTTCCTATTTGGAGTCCGCCTGTCTCAGGCACGTGCTTCCCCCGTTCTTGCTGCCTTCAACCTTTCCTAGCATTATTGTCTTTCATCGAGGCTGGTCTCACGAGGCTGTCTCATCATAGAAGGCGCTGCTGGGTTTCCCAAAGGTATAACCTAAACTCTCTGTCTCCCTCTCCCCCCCCCCGTGCCAGAAATCATATGGGGAGACCTGTTTCACTCCTGCACCCTGAAAGGCTTGGTGCCCTCAGGAAAGAAGCCCCCTTGCCCCAGGGGATTAGCCTCAACACCCTTTGGGGAGCTTTTGCTGGAAGAGCAGGTATTGTACGTGGAGAAATTCCCCTCACTCGCATGGGCGTTGCCTCTGGCCGACCCACCTCCGCTTGCCAGATGCCCAGAGAGGAAAGCTCACCACTTTCCCAGGCTGCGTGTGCCTCGGGAAGCATCCTCATGGGAGCCAAGGACCCCCCCCCACTCCAAAACGTTCCTGAAGAGGCTAGGCCTATAATAATAATAATATGCCTAAACCACTGACTACCATCTGTTCATGAGACCTCACAGCTTGGCTTACTGCCCCCACCTATTTTTTAAAAAATAAATGATGCCTTAACCAAAAGCCAGACTGTCCATCTCTCATAGAATTATGAAGAATGAAAATCCTCTTTTGGTCCTTACATTATGTGATTCTTTTTCTTCGTGCTAACCACCTTCCACGTAAAGAGTCACTTGATCTAGCAGCAAGTACCTCTGTATTGACAGGAACTGGAATAACTAGGGCTTCATGTTGTGCCACTGCCAGGGATCCTGTGGTTTGAGGGAGGGCTTCTCTTCATGGCACTAGAAGCCTGAAAAGGATGTCCGTAGGATATTGGATGTATCCTTTTCTAAGATCACAAGAGCTTTTTTCCTTAGAAAATAAAAATATTACAGGCTTCTTCTTCCTCTGCAGTGAAACAGAAAGAAGCCTAGCTTTTATAGTCGTTCATGAGAATGCAGTGAAACAGAAAGAAGCCTAGCTTTTAGTTCATGAGATCTCCACCTTAATTTGTAAGGGAAGTGTCAGGCCTTCAAACTGTGTTAATAAAGGTGCCAGTTACACTCATTTGCAGCATTTCCTTAGCTGGGCTCTCAACACTGGCCCCTTTCCAAGAACAGGTTAGTTTTTGTGTCAAATGCAGGGAGAGCTGTTACCCACTCTGCTTGAAGCTCAGTCCAGAGATGCAGCCATAGACTGCAGATTTTTTTTTTTGTGTGTGTGTGTATAGTCATCCTTAGCTTCCTTGGTGTGTTAAGCTGCCCAAATGCGACTGTTTGCATGCTTAACTGTCAAGTCGGACTGAAGTTTTAAGAATTTTTAAAGTGTAAAACACAAGGTTGTTTTGCCTTCTAGTGCTTATTGTGAGCTGTGTTTCATTCCTAAAGCATAAATCTGTCTCCCAGTGCAGGATAGCAATGCTTTAAAGAGGCTTTAGCTGTTACGTGGGACGCTGAAGTGATGATTTATGCTACCAGCTTGGCTGGTTGTTAATTCAGGATTAGAAAGTTGACTTGTCAGTCACTCTCTTCTCTCTGCCTCTCCCTGGTGGATTTTCCCCTCCCTGTTGCCAGTGCCAAAAAGAAACCGGGAATGTCTTTCTGCTGCCTAAGTCTTTGAGGCTGTCAGCTTCAAGGAGGAAAGGCCTGAAGGACCCGGCGTCCGTTTGCACTTCTGACTGCATTCAACGTGTCTTTTCGTCCGCCATTGCTCTCAACCCCTAAGGGGGCCTACCTCACAGGTTTGCTGTGAGAAGGCAGGCCGGACAGCCACGTGTCTTGCCCTGGGTTCAGGGAAGGAGGAGGAGGACCGACTGGTAAGTAGCCATTTTGTTTAGTCGTTAAGTCGTGTCGGACTCTTGGTGACCCCATGGACCAGAGAGCACGCCAGGCCCTCCTGTCTTCCACTGCCTCCCGGAGTTTGGCCAAAGTCATGTTGGTCGCTTTGATGACCCTGTCCAGCCATCTCATCCTCTGTGGTCCCCTTTCTCCTCTTGCCTCCACACTTTCCCAACATTGGGGGCTTTTCCAGGGAGTCTCTTCTCTTCTCACGAGATGGCCAAAGTATGGGAGCCTCCACTTCAGGATGTGTCCTTCCAGTAAGTAACCATAGCAACCACAAAACAGGGGCAGGGAGGCCAAAACGCCAGCACTGCCTTAGCAATAAAAACACGGAGGGCAAATCAAGGAGTAGGCCTTCCCCCCGCCTGCCCTCGTCGCGTTTTGGGGGCGGAGCCTCCGGGTGACGAAAGCGGCGCCGCCTCCTGAGCCTCGGCCGGAGCAGCGCATGCGCGGGATGGGGCAAGATGGCGGCGCCCACGGAAGCAGGAGGTTTGGCTGCGCTGGTGAGCCCGAGAGAGATTGGGGCGAGCGAGGGGTTTCCCTCCGCTTTGGCGGCGCCTCCCCCCCCGCTGACCTCCCTCTCCGCTTCTCTTTTCCCCTGCAGGGTGCCCGGGAAGCCGCCGCCGCCGCCCAGGCGCTCTCGCTGCCGGCCGAGGCCTTCGGGAACGACGTGAGTGCCGCCCGTCCTCCGGGAAGGGTTGCCGGCGCTGGGCTGAGGAGGGGAAGGGAGAGGAGGGGAAGGGAGGGAGGAGGCAAGCCGGCAGGTCACCCTTTACACACACACACACTGGCCGGTGTGTGTGTGTGTTTCTGCCTCCGTCAGTCCCCTTCCGGGCCCCGCTGCTGACGGCCCCGTCCTCTCTCTCTCTCTCTGTGCAGCCCAGCGTGGAGATGGTGTGGGCCATGAAGGCCTTCCAGCACGCCGAGGTCTACTTCAACGTGAGTGCCGCCGAAGAAAGGGGGCCCAGGGGACACCCAGGGAGCTCTACTCTTGAGAGAAATGGGGCGCCGGCCTTCCTGGCCTCGACAGGCAGGGTCAGAGGCGCAGCCCTCGGCTCCGTGTCCGTTTCCCTTGCCTGGCCGGTTGCTCTTGAAAAGCCAGCCAGCTCTGCTTCCTGTGGCAGGTGCGCAGAAGCACAGCTTGTTCCCGACCCTTCGCCTATCTTGTCATTTGGGGAACCTGATTTGGAAAACCTGCTCTCTGCAAATCCAGTCCCATTTCCTAGCTGGTTTTACTCTTCCATCTTTTCCTTTTGTAGCTGATTTCTTCTGTTGACCCCAAATTCCTGAAGCTTACCAAAGTCGATGACCAGATCTATGCCGAATTCAGGAAGGCCTTTAAGGACCTTGGAATTGGTGTGCTTGACCCAGAGGACCTTAAATCTGAACCTGCCAAAGAGGTTGGTGCTGGGTGGGAGGTAGGGAGGTGTTAGTTTCAACTTCTGGCTCCGTACTCCAGGTTTTCTGGGCAGAAAAATCACTCTTTGTCTTTCCTGTATGTAGAAGTGGCGCCCATTTTGCTTGCAGTTTGATGGGATAGTCGAAGACTTTAATTACGGCACTCTCCTAAGGTTGAACTGCAGTCAAGGATACACAGAGGAGAATACAATATTTGGTAAGAAACCTGTGCGTCCTATGCCTGGTTTGGGGAGACCTGCTCTGGGGGCAGATGGAAATGGCTGCCTGCCTGTCATAGTTTTTCTGGTGAAGATGAACTCCCCTCAGGCAAAATGATACATGTTCTGTGTGTGCTGCTTTGCTAGCCTTGGGATATGTAACTCTTGCACAAAGACAGACCATGGCCTTTCTAGAGGAGCAGCCTTTTCACAAGCAGTGCATCTTCTCCCTGCCATCTTTTTTTGAACATTTTTGTGTGACAAGAGGGATGATGAGTATTATATTATTATTATATTATATTATTATATTATTTCACTGTTTTTACTATATTGGAAGCCGCCTAGAGTGGTCTTTTAGACCAGATGGGCGGGGTATAAATCAAATAAATAAATAAAAATAAATAAACTGAGTGTGATGCTTAGGGTTGTGCCCGCCTTAAAGAAACGTCTCTTCTCAGCCACCAGGATCCAGTTCTTTGCCGTTGAAATAGCCCGTAACCGAGAGGGCTACAACAGCGTTGTTTATGACAGTGCGAAGAAAGCCAGCTCACACACAGGAGTGTCCAGCTCTGGGTGACAAGACCGTCTGCTTTTCCAGTCAAGGCCATTCGTTCAAAAGAAAAAGGGGTCTTAGCTTTGCTGCAGGGTCGGCTCTAGCTGAGCAACTGACTGTTCCTGTTTCTAGCCAAATGCAAAAGTACAACTGCTGCTGGAATCCTGTTCAGTGCCAAAATGACCTCCATGGTGGACAGAATTATGTATTTTGGGGGCTCAACTGCAGCAACTGGCTCCTGTAACTTTAAGTGACTGAGCACAGTGCCAATAAAAAATAACCCATGAAAATTGGCAGTAGAAGTGAGTTCTAATGGAACCTGATTTTCCTACCCTCTTTCAGTAGCACACAAAATACTGGAATTAATACAGCTTCTTCCAGTATGAATGTTGAGACTTTCTGTAGAGTCTAAGGTAAACATTAAAGCTACCTGCAGGACTCTAGCTGGCATTTGTCAAGACAAAGCAAGCAACTCTCTGCAATTAAGCCTCAATCATGCAGGCACAAGAAGACTTTCCTCAGGATGATTTACTTCCAAGTAAACATATGGGATCAAATTCCTTTTTCTAACAAAAGTACAGTAACCACACTGTAACTGTAACTTAGCAAAGGATAGCTTTACCTAATGCAACAGTCACTGTTTTGGTTACTTTCCTGGTTAAAGTGGTTTGGCTTAGGTTCTGTCTACATAATGGCTGAAGTTGCAACTAAAGTTGGCCTAGTTGAGTCAGTGGGATTTATGGAGGGGCTGACTCACCCACCCTCACTGATTCAATGGGCCTACTCTAGTGTTACTTACTATACAAAGCAGAAGAATTTCAGCCAGTGTTTTTAGAATCCAGAGAGTAACTATATCAGTTACTTTGACAAATGAGACAGTTAACTGTAGATAGCTACTTTGCTGAGCCTTATAACTAGCTGATTCTTTTTAAAAACGATGTGCTTTTTCCAAGGCTGGTAATGAGATTGCTTAAATAAAATACTGCTACAACCTGTCATCCTTCTCTTTACAGCCTTTGTCTGAAATAACTGCTTGTGGATTTAGTGCTGCTAATCTCAGTCCATATATGCCTTTTCTCTTTGGGCTTAAAGTAGTACATAAACCTTAGTCTCCTTCAAATCTTTTGCCTCCTCTGATGTGAATGGGAGCCATTACCTGGTGGAAAGGTGAGCCCAGTCTTGAACCATCACCATCATCCAGCTCCACTGCTGCTTCCTTTATTAAGCAGCCTGCCTTCCCCAGACAGAGGGAGGATAAGGAAATCTGAAGCTAGCTCCTTAGCTTCTACTTTAAGCCAGAGTTTCAGATGCAGTCCGTAAAGCCCCAGAAAAACCTGTGCTTGTAAACCACAAAGAAGCTAGAGGAGATTGAAAATACACTTTACTTACCATCTTGTTCTTCTATTAGTTAAACACTGAATTGATGGCACTTGTCTCCAGCCTTCCACTCAGTGTCTGTACTTTTCAAACACCCTCCTTTGCATCACACAAGAGTAACACTCTGCCCTGGTTGCACACAGCTCAGTAGAAACCACTGAAGTTTATTTGCAGCCACAATGCTTACACTGTATGCAGCAAACACCCTTACAAGTCATCCAGCAATCTGCTCACACAAAAAGGACCCAACACACAATCGCCAGAGGGGGAAAAACAAAAAATAAAACTGAGGTGGTGCTATCTGGGAAGAGAAACCAAGACCGGTAAGAGCTGGGCTACGGGGTGCTCAGAATTAGCAGCAAGAAGAGTGGGAAAGTACAAGGCAAACAGGTTCTCCCCCCCCCCATTTTCTCAAAAGTAAATTTAACCTTCCACAAAGTTGTTGCAGCAGTAGGAGGAAACCTAGACACAATGGGTTGTGTTGCACAGCTTGCTGTGTCTCTAAGAACCTCCCCACATCCACTTGTCAATGCCAGCAGCCACCTACGAAGAGTGGGAACTGGGGGAGAAGAGGCAAGGCTGCTCCCTGCAGCTGTGTTTTGAGAAGGAGAAGAGGGTGTGGGGCCCATGAGTCGCCAGTGCCTCTCCACACTTTTCCCGGTAGCTGGGAAGCAAGGAGATTCACGCAGGAAGGAAGGAAGGAGCCCGGTGCAATGCGCTAAGGAAGAGGTGCAGACATACAGCACAGACTTTCCGTGGCTGGCCTCTGGGACCAGGCTAGAAAGGAAGTGCTGACAGACAGGGCAAGGAACATACACTCATGGAACAGCACGGAGCATGGCTTTGAGTTCCTAACAAGAGGGGAGGATCAGGGCAGGATGGTACAGATTACAGGGGATGTATAAGAAAAATATACATTTGGAACTTCACACTTCTTGTGCCTCTCTCTACACTTGTTACTAAATATAACTCTGTACTTTCACACACCCCTCACCCAGTAACATGGCAGGTGGCCAGGAGACACACAGCTTCCGTACTTGCATACAACCCTCACGTCAGCATTGGTGCACTAAACTCTGTAAAAATTTCAGTCACACTTTTTTTTAAACTTGAGTCAATATAAACCTTGTTCAAAATGTTATGAAAAAATGTACATGTTTATACAAGGCAGGCTGCGGCAGGACACAGGGGTTTCTCTCTGACATTCACTCAGGGAGACGCTGATCTGCCACCACTCTTTCGCAAGGAAAAAAGCCCCCTGCCCTGGTGAACTTTTCACACCCCTCCTCCTGCAGCCTTGCCCCAGGGACCAGCAGGGATCAGAAATGCCCTTTTGTCTTTCCATCGGAAAAGTTAACCTCCCTGGCCTATGCCAGAGAGAGGCTTCTCACGAGACGTCAGCTCATCATGTCGTTGCTGTTTACCCCGTAGGTGGAGTTCTTCATAGAGTCGTTCACCTCCCGCCGGAATGCAGACAGGTTTTGTGTAAATCTGCCAAAGATGCAAACCAAAACTGTGTTAGGAAGGGGGAAAAGCCCCACTGCTTAGCTATGGCACAGCCTACAAGTGGCCCTGAAGCGTCCGTGTGATAGTTTGGCCAACTTTTTAAATGCCAGCTTCGAATGGCAACAAGCTTTCCCAGACGGTCACTTAAAATGGGAGTCTGGTGGTAGAAGCAGGCTTAGGCCCTCCATTTCTAGTTATGTCTAAGCAAAAACAAACCCGCCCACTTGAATGTCTAATCTTTCCTGGAGGAGAGCTTTGGCAACATGGCAGTCAGTGTGGGGCAGGGCTTTTCAAGATTCAGGCTTTGTGGCTCTGGTTTCCTGAAGAGTTAATAGTCTTTTCCCACACCAATATTTCTCTCTGCCTCTGCATATCACGTCTTATCCCAGTTTTTCCCATCTGTCCCACATACACTACTAGAAAATCTTCAGTTCTTTGACAGTAAATTTTTGTACAACGAATCACATAAACTTTAACCAGCCTGATAAACTGAACATACTAGCATTTGAATATATAGCCATCTGACAACCTGCCTAGATTTATTTTGAAATGTTCCTAGAAGTTCCAGATGTGTCCTCTGGAGTCTGTCTCACTGCTGTATTGTTTTTTCCAGGTTGGAAAACACTCCTAATGTCCTCCCTTTCTTGTCTGTAGAAAATTCCCTCCCCACAGCAGAAGATGGAACTGCTCAACCAGTTCTTTTACTTGTCTACTGATGCTGCTGTACAATGGAAGCTAAGAACAGACCCTCCAAGACATGTTATGTTCAAGAGCTGGTAATGGTCCCCTGACAGGAGTGCTTCTCACAGGCTGCTCCCAGTTGAGATACTGACCTATCCCGATTCTTGGTGAGCAAATTCCGCTCAATGCCTTCCATGAGGTTTTCAAAGCAGAGGTGCATCGCTTGCTGCTTCTCTGGGGGCTGGCTGTTCACGATACTGTTCCTTAGGTCCGAGAAGTACTGGGGGGTGGGAGCACAGGAGAGGTAGAGAAGGAAGCAGGAGATGACTTTAGGGACCTGTGTGCTTAAAGGGACCCAGAGCACTTGTTTCCAACAGTATCCTGGCCCACAGTATCTGCACAATACCTGTGGGACTGCCTTACCTTTTCATTGAGCAGTATCAAGCCAAGGAGAGGCCGGGACATGGACCACTGATTCCTACAGTCCTCAAAGATGATGATATTCAGCACCGTTGACAGCATCTAGAAGGAATGAACAAGATTAAGCCAAGTGCCACCATTTTTCACCGCTCACAGTGCGTGTTTGAAATGTGTCATTGAACAGTTTAAAGAGTAAGATCTGTTTTAGAAAGATAAAGGTCTCAAACCCATCACGACTGACGGGACAGGGATCTGCATCTAGTGGCGTGTGTGCTCCTCCTTTGATTGGCTGAGTCTTGGGAACTGACACGGCCACCTGTATCCTGAAGGCCAAACAGCCTTTTTGCCAACAGCTCTCACCTGCTGGATCATCTCAGGATGCTGCTGCATGATGTGCAGGAATCGGTCGCTCTCCTGGACCAAAGGGGCTGTCCTCTTCTTGGTGCTGCGTGACAGCTGCTTGAAGAGATAGGTGACAATGTGGTCCAGGCAGGAGCAGCAGCCTGTGCAAACCATGGTGTCTAGAAGGACAGGAAAAAGGGGCTGAGTGGCTGGACTCTAGCTTGACACGAGGCGGTGGCACGCTGAGAGCCCACCAACCCCAGGGCGGCAGCAGCCCTCCAGTCTTCTTGCAGGGACCACTAAAGTGGGACTTGAAACGATAGACTTCTGCTGCCGCCACCGCCCAGGATGACCCAAGGACCAATTCCTGATGTCTCGGACACCTCTGTGGAACAAGCTCTGAGAAGGTGGGAACTCCCTATCTTCTCATCTGCCACTCCTTCAGCTGGGGGATGCGCCTTGAGGACTGGCATATTAGCAAACAGCCGGTTAGGAGGATACTTCCCTCTGACATGACTGCTTATAATCCAAGACCACCAGCACCAACCAGGTTACGTCTGTATGTTATAAGTGGCAGAAACTGAAGAGGAATTTACTAGTGAACAGATCTAAAGTCTACAGAAACCTTAGGGTGAAGGTGATGGAAAGAGCTACAAAGGAGTTAGTCTAGCTTGAGGGGTGAAGAGATATTTCAGTTGCTGATGTTCAGTACTATCAAGCTGCCTCCATCTTATGATGACCCTATAAATGAGCAATCTCAAGAAACGTCGTGTCCTTATATTTCAGTTAGGTATTAATTTTAGTTGTAAAACTGGAAGAGCCGGACGTCAGAGCCGCACATAGCGATGGCTCGTGACTGCATTACTTATTCTGTGCACCATTTGGTAGCTCCGTTCCATAACGCATACTGGGGTAAGATCTTTATCTCCTGGATAAGTTGATAAACCAAGAAAAAAAAGGGGAAAAAAGAGGTGCCTTCAATTCTCATCTGAAGAAAGGATGAACTTCCGTGTCTTCATTGTTTGGCTCCCCCAAGGGCTGCAGGAATTTCAGGCTGTGCCTTAGGCAGTGCAGAAGCCACTAAAGGCACAGCATCTCTTTTGGGCCACAAGACCATGTCTATTTGGAACCAGCTCCCAGCAAAACAGGCAGAGTCTCTTCACGGTTGGAGAACACAACTGGAAAGAAACTAGATGGCTTTTCCATCCAGTGGAAACAAGTTTGGGTGGTGTACCCAACCAAAATATGGAGAGTATTGGCTTCAGATGGCAAAGGACCATCCTTCACTCAGGGCAGGACACCACGGCCAAATGGCCACCTCTGGTATCTTCCGAGGCACACACAAAAAAAGACAAGCTAGCTTGGTGTTCCATATGCAAGACAGTCAAGAGCCCTGGGGTTTTGGAATCCTCCTCGGGGCTCCCATTCCCCCTTCTGTGTCCTACACCAAGTTGCACCAAGAGCCGGCCAGCAGGAATGAATCGTCCAGAGACAGCCAAGAGTGCCTGAAAAAGCCAGGTGGATGCTACGGTCATTCTGCTGAGGGACCAGGCAGGCACCATTCTTCCCAGAAACGACATCCCTACAGCAACAGGAAGATGCCAGGCTGAGGCCCAGGGGCCTTCATTGGAACAAGAAGACAACATTTGATGGCTGCTGAGAATGTTTCTCACGGACGCGTTAACAAAGCTTCAGCTGCACTGCTGGCCAGGAGGAATGGGGGGGGGGACCTGTCTGAATAACGCAGGGCTGCAGAGACCCAAAAGGCACCCCCAGTCTCTGTCACTGTGCTGCAGTTCCATGTCCCAGAGCAGCCTTTGCCATCCAGAGGTGTGCCATCCCACTGCAATCTCCCCCTATGGTTTCTCCTCCAGTGCCTGCTGGCCCTTATCCACGGCTGCACGGGCGAGACCTGAGGGGAACTGCACTCCCATCGCCTGGGGGCTGCATAACCCCACCCCCTGCTTCAGGATCCTGCTCTGCTCGGTGAGACATGTAGGGTCCAAGGAAGTGCGCACTCACCTAGTGCTGTGAGGCCCTCTGAGATGGAGGAAAGAATATACATGATGACGTGGGGCTCCAGGCTAGCTATAAAATTCATGTGATCCTGGGTAAGGACTTCCAGTAAAGAATAATAGGACTGGCTGAGCTTCGGGTAATCCTGCCACAAAGACAGAAGAGGGAGCATGAGAGAGAATCCAGAGCCCTTCGGTGTGCAGGGCGATCTGAGGTGGGTGCAGCCCCGGGAACCGCCCCTGCCCCCCTTCCAGTGCAACCCCTCCCTGCCTTGCTTGCCCAAGTTTCAGAGGACAGCTGTTTTCAAAGCACCCCCATGACAGACAGTCTTCAGCTTGCTGAAGGGTTGACACAGAGGCCCTGCGATGACCTCTCATGAACCAACCCTCAGACAGTTGGTTGGCTGCTTGCTCCTCCTCCTCCTAAAGGAAGCATCCGTCCCTCCTCACTGGCTGCACCCAAGGAGCAGACGA